TTCAAGATGTCTGGCGATAAAAGAAGGGTCAGTGATGAGGGCGTACCAGGATTTGGCTACACATTTGAACCGAAACAAGGATTTTACAGGCAGCCTCACAAAAATCTCCTTCATGAGATCTTTTGGAAGCCTGTGGCTCAGCATCTTCTTTTCCAGGAAAATATGTGGGGAATTAACAGAAGGGACCTAAGCCTCAGTCCTTATATAGAACTCAAATCCAGAAATTTAGGATCATTTTTTTCATGAGCAATTGAGAATCAATTTGCTAAGTCATAGATTTTCGTCTTCGGTGATATTAGTGACAGATTTTATTAGGTGAGATGATTGAAAATCTATGAGATGACTTTTACGATTTTAAGTAATTAAATTTTAATTAAAGTTAAATGTATTTAAACGTGGGTCACAGAAATATCCTATATCATTAGATAACATTAACTATTTAAAAAAAAACAAAAGAAAGAAAAGAAAAGAAAATAGGTATTGGAGATAAATAAGGTTATATATATAATTTCATTAAAAAATATGATAACTTATAGAAATGAAATGAAAATATGTACAGCTTTTAATTTGGACTGCGCTCTTGATTATTAAAAAGGATATAAGTTAAGAAAACTGAAACAACAACAACAACAAAAAGAGGAGATTTGCTGCCAAGACCATCCAATGTGCAATATTCGAAAATTTTGACGGCTAATGAACTTACTGCCAAGGATATATATGCCAAAAATAATAATAATAATGAAATGTACGCCAAATGTATTTTCACCGAATGACATAAAAATTCTCATAAAAGTGCACATATTTTGCTTTTTTTTTTATTATCTATCTCAAAAAAAAGGTTTACAAACTTATTATAGTTATAAAGGGCTGAGGTTATAACATTTTAGTCTGCTTCTAATTTTAGACAGTTATGTATCTACCTCTAAACTCATGTCATCATTATACGCTTTTTTAACTAAAAAAAGTCTTTTTATACAAAACAATTAGTTTTCTTATAGATATACTTGTAGATTGCCTACTAACAAAATCCTCACATTAGCAACAAGATTTGAACTCATGATCATATAAGTTATGAACCGACTCCTTACTAATTGGATTAACTCTTATTGGCAACTTTGTAATGGTAAAAAAAACTATCCACGCTCCTTTATTTATTTTATCAAGGGACCAACACACTTCCAATGATGACCCAACCCATACCAACTACTAGCATGGGTACACAAATCCTCAACCTAGTGAAGGGTCTTTAATCCAAAAAAGACACTAGATGCAAAGAGACAGGCTAATCTAACCCAGCTTGGCGTGACATCCTTATCTTGTGTACTTCACTCTTTCAAAGAGTTTATGTAGACTACCACCAATGTTGCTATGAAGTCTCATAAAGGTCTTCATGTTGTAATATTAATATATAGAAAAATAGTCTTTTAAAACCTTCAAGAACTCCTCCTCCATCTTTGGAAGACGCTCTCAGAGTAGCTTTACTAGGGATACACAGTCATAACTCATAAGGGCCTTGAAATGCTATGTACATACCTTCTTATTGGATAAAATGTGACAATGCTCTAGATATTCAGTGAATTTAAAAGACCTACACCTTCCATGCTATTTCTGGAAAAGTCCATGCTGTTGGCTTTAAAGAGATCAATCGTGGCAGTAACATGCAAATCTGTTAACAAGTCAAAACCTTTGAAATTTCATTGATATGACCTATATTTGGGGGATTTTTAAAGGATGGGAGATGGCCATTTTTATATGTCACTATGATCCCCAACTGGATAAGCTTCACGCTATTTACATTTAACTTAAACCCTACATTTGTACAGCTGTCTCCATAGTATGCCCTTGAAAATTCAGTATCCAGGGCCATGTAGGGAAAGTGAGGTGGCGATTTCAAAGGTAAGATTAGCATCCCAGACATCTACTATCTCCATGTTGTTTATGGAGAGAATTGACATCGCAGTAACTCAATTTGTATGTAATTGATTTCATTACATGTCACATATAAATTAATGTTAATGTCTTAGAAAAAAGTGATTAGAAAATACCTTCTTCATCTTTTATTATAACATTTAAATAATCAATCAAATTGTGTTCTGATACCAAGAATTTTTCTTTTTGTAGGATCTTCACATCTTCTTTAGCACTGGAAGAAATCAGATTCTTAGATCTCAAACCCATCACTTGATTTCGTTTTCCTTTTCAAACTATCCTCATTTTCATATATGGAAGTTGGAAGTATCATAACTTTCATAAATTATGTTGTTTTCCCTAATATCAAACTTAGTTTGAATCAAGAAAATTTTAAAGGCATGTTTCTCTTGTAAATAAAAACAATACATATGTAACTACTACCAAGAGGTCTATTTTCATCCCCGATTTTTAAAAACCAGAAGAAAAAGGGCCTTAGGACAAAACAAACAAGTAGAGAGCTTAGACTCATCTATTACACAAAACAAACTAATATGAGCTTTGATGCTCGTCTCTTTCTTGTAACAGACGAGTATGGCTCATACTCTATTTTAATCTTTTTGGACTTAGGAATTATTCTTCCTCTATAATATGTACATCTAAGTGCTTTTTGAGTAAGAAATCTGAATTTGAAATTGATGAGTAAAGAAAAATTGGATTATTTGAATAAATTATGCTACCTCTAGTTCTGACATGGCAGTTAAATAACTAAGTTGTAGAAAATGAAAAAAAAAAAAATAGTTTAATTAATTATATGTTAAAAATTGACCAAAAAAAAGTTAAATTATCAAATAGGATATTGATTTTAATTTTTTAAGATTGCTCTTGCAATTTCATTTTTTAAAATTTTTTTTAAAGATGTAAATCATGATTTTAAATATGAGTAAATTTAATTTTTTAATTTTTAAATAAAATTTAATGATTTAATCACCTTTCTTTAATTCTATTTGAGATTCCTCTTATTAGAGACAATTTTATTCGAAACATTGTCGAGCACTAAATTTAAGCACATCTCCTAATGGGGATTCAAATATTGATTTGTTATGTTATAAGAGATTAACTCCTCTTACTAGACCCAACATTCATTGGTAGTAACTGTAACATGATTTACTGTTAATAGTTCAATGGGCAACCAACCAATATGTTGTTGATTGAGATGGTGAGCAGTTTCATTCTCTAAGGAGGAAAACATAAGTTCAAATCTTAAAAGGGTTTTAACCTTAATGTTTTTGACTGGATATAAATTAGTTTCAAATCCAAAATAACTTAAGGATACTCTGACTTATAAACAAACAAGTTTCATGGGTGTGAGTGCACTTTGTACTCTACAAGGTAGGTTACTAGGTCCTTCGAGTGCTTCATTTGCTAGAGAGCTTCGTTCTAAGCATCCCAACAATTCCTTTGTGCTGCATAACTCAATCACAATTTTTGTTACTAACAATAACACTATAACGAATGACAATTTTTTTTAAAAACAAAAACAACAACAACAAAGTCACTTACACTTGTTGCTCATCAAATATTTCATGTACACTGTCATTTCTTTTGCATGCTATATACACATGCCTGCTTTTCTCATTATACTGAAATAGGTTTGCAAGTTCCACATCATCAACAAGACCTAGTAGGGTCTTCTCATCAAAAGTCACAATATATTTTATCTCGCCATTATTACTATCAATGCCGCTAATCCATGATGTTATCATTACTCTCATTTCTTCAAGTGTCATCCCCTCTCTTATGGCGTTTAATCTTACTCTTCCTCCATTATATTGAATTTAACCTTCAACATTCTTCACAAATTACCCATCTACATGAAAAAAACAAAATAGTTCTTTTGCAACTGTTGATCTAGAAAGAGACGTTATTTTTAATACCAACCTGCAATGAATAAATTAATTTAATTAGTATTTTGATTAGATTTAATTGAAATTTTTTTAAAACTAATATGATTAACACATGACTAAAAATGGTTGATAGGTTAACTAAAAACTAATGGATAAAGAATATGAATATGTATATGATTATTCAACAATTTCCACATACAGCGTTTTATATTGTTGAATGTGAGAGTATATCAAAAAGATATAGAACATTGCTCAACGAATCTCTTTTGAATCATGTAATCAACACAAACATATTGATAATCTAATTAGATTTGAAGTTGGTCATGAAGAAAAGCTTCTATTAGGTTTGGAGATTCACGATAGTTTACACAAACGTAGATGATCATATGCTATTATATATTATCTCAAGGATTATTATGCTTTCAACTTTAAATCAAAACAATGGCACAAACTGAAACATGAATAAGATATTGGTTCATACTATAGGAATGGCATATCAAAGATGATTCTTCTTTTGCTTGTTGTGCCAATTCTCCTTCCACTAGAAGTATCACTGGCAACCCTCTTCTCAAGAAAAAAAAAGAAAAGAATGAATTGATCAATCGTTACATGATTTGAGAAATCATAAATTTAATATTAATAGATATGGAAGAATTCTATAAATCTTTAATTCATTATCATGTATTTTTTATCTTGATTTTTAATTGTTTTTCATTAAAAAAATTTTAATTAAATCTGAAATCAGGCCTACACCTACATTCAATTTTCCTTTTTTTATTACAAAGGGACATTCTGGTCTTTTAGTAACATTTGAAAATCCCTAATTAGGCTTCTTAACCTAATTAGGAATTTGTTAAAAGTATCGACCTAAATTGGAATTGTATTATTTCAAATGGATTTAATTGGGATTTTCCCTATTATTAACCAAGGATAATTAAACTTTAAATGATATAAATTTAACAGCATCATCAAATACCAATGTTAATAATGTAATGCAAGGTCTGTTCAAAATTTCAAGTAAGAAAAGAAAAGGTCAACACCAATGAAATTCTTAAGCCTTACGATTTCTGTTCAAAATAAATAATTGTCTGCATCCATTGGCAACACAAAAACAATACAGTCAATGAATTAATTAAAAAAATAGAACAAATTAGGGAGATTATGAAAATAAAATATATATCTTCATCATATTTTGTTGTGTTTCCTCCCCCCCACCAAAGGAACCAAACTATCCACATAGTCAAAACCAAAGATCTCTTCTATCAAAGGAACCAAACTATCCACATGGCCAAAATCATAACTCATTTTTGGAGCATTTATGTGTTGATTTTGAAGATTATAGGAAATCATTTGACCACCAAATGTGTCAATAAGAATTTCATTATCCCTCCAAGATCCTAAGATGGATTGAAACTCATCAAGTGGTCCGATCTCAAACTTTTCAGTCCAACTACTTTCAACACCATGCTCATTCGTGACCCAAACCTTAGATTTTCGAGTTGCATAACTATGTTTAACAAAAGCAAGACTTTGATCAAGTACAAAAACATCGCTTGGTCCATGTAAAGAATCAATCGCGAGGGGCAATTGCATCATCCTAAACACCTCTTTGCCAAAATCGAAACTCAAAATAGAGCTCCTGGTGATCCCATTCAAGCCAAAAACTAACCAATAATAAACTCCATTCAAATAAGACGTACAACCTCCAAAACATACTTCAAAATCTGGGACAACAACATCTAGTACCCTCCAAGAATCAGTACTAAGATTATATACTTCAACTAGACGTACTCCTCCTTCCAAAGGCCAATCTGAAACTTGAACAATCTTGTAATCTTTTGTAATGGGATCAAACCCAAATCCAAACATGACAGAAGCTATGCTTTTAGGTAGAAGGCACTGAGACACCGGAATAAGCTTATCCTCTTTTGTTGCTGGATTCCAAAGGATTAAGTTGCCTTTATCCGGATTATATCCTTTGTTTTTGGGGTCCCAAAATTTGCGCTTATGCTCATTATCACCTTCTTCATTGATATTGATCACGTGCAGACAAAAAATCCCATCACATTGACCATAAAAGCCCCAATACTCCTTATGAGGGAGAGGTTCTATATCATGCAGCACATAAGGTTGGTCTTTAGAAATCAAGGATATGTAGGGCACCCGAGTGAAACTATCCAATTGGAAGATAAGCTTCAGGCGGCGACTCTTGCTGATAGATCTAGACCGTTCAAGATGTTCGGCAATAAAACAAGAGTCAGTGATGAGAGCGTACCAGGATTTGGCTACACATTTAAACCGAAGCAAGGATTTTACAGGCAGCCTCACAATGATCTCGTTCATGAGATCTTCAGGAAGTTCGTGGCTCAGCATTTTCTTTTCCGGGAAAATACGTGGGGAATGAAAAGAAGGGACCTAAGCCTTAGTCCTTAAAGTCTAGAAATTAAAAGAAGACGTTTGCTTTAAATGCTTTTCAATGGGAAGTAAAATGCAACAGATATGTTGTGAATAAAACGAGATTATAGATGGCTTACCAAAGATGGTTCAGGCGGATCATGATTGTTAATGATATAATTAACTCCCCCGGTCAATGTTGATAGTGATTTAGGAGTATTTGAATAAAACCAAACTATAATTTTAAAAGTAATTTTATAATATTTAAAATAAATATGAGATAACATGAAAATACTTTCTTTAAGTGTTTTTTGGGCAAACTAAACACCCTGTTTAATTTCTTCTTTTGTATCGGGAAAAAAACGAATTAATTTGAATAGATAAACATGAATATGAGGATTTATGAGGATCCATTTATTCGGTGAGATTATTGAAAATCACACGATAAAAATAGCTTATTTATTTCATTTTTCCAAATTTAAAAACTTAAATTGAAGGATTAATTATTCATCATTAGTTATTGATAGATTTAAATTTGATGAGACAATTCAAAACCTATCAGATAATATAAATTGATTCAAGTAATTAAATTCTTTTTTGAATTTCCTTAACTGCATCCTTTTATTTTCTTTTGTATCTTTTTACCAAATCCCTTAACCGATGGAGATAAAAATAAAATCCCGTGAATTGTGCCGAACAAAATGTCAAGAATCAAGAGATCTTAATTAAGGATCAGCTTGCTGATTGATAGATTTTATTAATTGGTGAGATAATTGAAAGATGACTCTTACGATTTTAAATAACTCAATTTTAGTTTAAACTAAATTTATTTAAATGTGGTTCACAAAAAAATTATTTAAATAAGTGGATAACGGAATTAAATTTGATCTTTTAAATTTAAAAAATATAATTTTAGTTCTTTATTCCTAGAATTATTAACAAAAAATGATAACATTGACATCTTAAATATTGATAAATTATTGAAAAACCATATTGGAGGTATATCTACCTTGTCTCAATTTTTAATTCAGTAGTTGTGTATTTTTCTCTTAATTAAATCATTTAATTTTTTTTAGCAACATTTAGCTCTTGTAACTTTTTTCTATTAGCTTTTTAAGACTCTATACAAGGCTTAACGATATTAATAAAGAAAAATTAAATATATAATTAAGAGAAAAAACACATAGGTACCAAATTAAAAATTAATCAAAAAAAGTATAGTTACCTCCAATATAGTTTTCCCAAACATTCTAATATAGTTTTCCAAAACATTCTCAAATATTATCATATTAAATTTAATTTTTAAAAAAATTATGATTTTTACAAAAAAAAAAAAATCATCATTTAAGCCTAACAATCTTAAGGTTAAAAGACTAAAAATATAATTTTTAACATTAAAAGACCAAATTAAAGTTTAATATAAAATTAAAAAACTAGATTATACTTTAACTAATAATTAAATTTTGGTTTGAACTAAATCAGTGAGAGTTCCTAATATAAGTTATATGAAAATCACACGATAAAATAGCTTGAACATTATATTTTAAATAAGTCAATATGGATTTGAATTTTTAAGTTACTTGCACGATGTCGCATGTGTGGCATTATTTATAATTTCTTTAAATAAAAAGTTTAAATAAAAAATAATTTGTGTGATAATAATGTTAAAGCAAGAAAATGTAGATTTTGAGATTATGAAATAGTAAGTAATGAAATGTGAAACTTAATAATCTAATTTGACATTATTTCTGTAGGAAATAAATTTAATTTCATTTTATTTAAAATTCTGGTATTAAAAAAAAAAATACAACTCCGATTTTGTCGCCGAAGTTAAAACTGAGAGCTCATGGCTCATGGCTTAAAGGTGGAAGTGTCTTGCGTTTACTCTTAAGCCACCAGTTCGAACATGGCAGCATCACATATAATGTGCTTCTAATTTTATATCACCCAATCGTTAATATAAGGACCAATTCAAAATTAAATTTAATCTTAAATATAAGATTTTAATATACTTTATCTCTCTTGTACTACCTCTGGTCCTAATTATAAGAACTAATTGACTAATGTGAGGAGATTAAGAAAATAAGTTAAGTTAATTATTTGTAATGAATAGGTGTTGTCTTTCCTAAAATATTCTTACTAATCAAGTGTACCGGTTAGAATTATTATTATTGGAATGACTTTCTGGGAAAAAATGTATAAATATGAGATATAAAGTGGATTGGGATCTTATATTTAGGACTAAAATAAAAGTCAAATGAAATCTTATATTAAAGACCGGAGGTAGTATTAAGGATGGCAGGTAGTATCATGAGTTGGATTTAAAATCTGCTTAAGCAAGACTCTCACCATCACCAATGCCTGTGTTGATTTGAAGATTATAAGAAATCGATCCATCACCATCACCAAGTTCTTCAATAAGAATCTCACCATCCCTCCGAGGCCCTAATATGAAGGCAAACTCAAAAAGTGGTTCGATCTCAAATGTGTTAGTCCAACTACTCTCATCAACATACACATTCATCGCCCAAATCTTATATTTTTTTTAGTATTATGATCATATTCAGCAACAGCAAGACTCTCCTCAAGTACAAAAACTTTGTTTCCACAAAAAGATCCAATTGCAGAGGGCAATATGATCATCCCAAACACCTCTTTGCTAAAATCGAAGATAAGCTTCAGGCGGCGAATCTTGCTGGTAGATCTGGACCGTTCAAGATGTCTGGCAATAAGAGAAGGGTCAGTGATGAGGGCGTACCAGGATTTGGCTTCACATTTGAACCGAAACAAGGATTTTACAGGCAGCCTCACAAAAATCTCCTCCATGAGATCTTTTGGAAGCTTGTGGCTCAGCATCTTCTTTTCCAGGAAAATATGTGGGGAATTAAAAGAAGGGACCTAAGCCTCAGTCCTTATATAGAACTCAAATCCAGAAATTTAGGATCATTTTTTTCATAAGCAATTGAGAATCAATTTGCTAAGTGACAGATTTTCGTCTTCGGTGATATTATTTTATTAGGTGAGATGATTGAAAATCTATGAGATGACTTTTACGAATTACGATCTTAAGTAATTAAAGTTAAATGTATTTAAACGTGGGTAACAGAAATATCCTATATCATTAGATAACATTAAATATTAAAAAAAACAAAAGAAAGAAAAGAAAAGAAAATAGGTATGGGAGATAAATAAGGTTATATATATAATTTCATTAAAAATTATGATAACTTATAGAAATGAAATGAAATTATGTACAGCTTTTAATTGGGACTGGTCTCTTGATTAGTAAAAAGGATATAACTTAAGAAAACTGAAACAACATTAAAAAAAAAAAAAAGAGGAGATTCTGCTGCCAAGACCATCCAATGTGCAATATTGGAAAATTTTGATGGCTAATGAACTTACTGCCAAAGATATATATGCCCAAAAAAAAATTTCCCATTGATGTGAAAGTGGGGTGTACGCCAAATAGTATTTTCACTTAATGACATAAAAATTCTCATAAAAGTGAGAGCACATGGTTTTATTTTGCTTTTTTTTATCATCTATCTCATAAAAAAGGTTTACACACGTATTATATTTATAAAGGGCCGAGGTCATAACATTTTACTCTGCTCCTAATTTTAAACAGTTATGTATCTACCTCTAAACTCATGTCATCATTATACACTTTTCTAACTAAAAAAAGTTTTTTTTATACAAAACAATTAGTTTTCTTACATAAATACTTATAGATTGTCTACTAACAAAGTCCTCACATTAGCAGCAAGATTCGAACTCATGACCATATCAGTTATGAATCGATTCCTTATTAATTGGATCAACTCTTATTAGCAACTTTGTAATGGTAAACAAAACTATCCACGCTCCTTTATTTATTTTATCAAGGGACCAGCACACTTCCAATGATGACCCAACCCATACAAATACTATACTAGCATGGGTAAACAAATCCTCAACTTAGTGAAGGGTCTTTAATCCAAAAAAGACATTGGATGTAAAGAGACAGGCTATTTAACCCAGCTTGGCGTGACATCCCTATCCTATGTACTCTCACTCTTTCAGAGAGTTTATAGAGAGAATTGATATTGCAGCGACTCAATTTTTATGTAATTGATTTCATTACATGCCATATATAAATTAATGTTAATGTCTCAGAGAAAAGTGATTAGAAAATACCTTTTTCATCTTGTATTATAACATCTAAACAATCAATCAAATTGTGTTCTGATACCAAGAATTTTTCCTTTTGTAGGATCTTCACATCTTCTTTAGCACAGGAAGAAATCGGATTCTTAGATCTCAAACCATCACTTGATTTCCTTTTCAAACTATTCTCATTTTCATATATGGAAGTTGGAAGTATCATAACTTTCATAAATTATGTTGTTTTCCCTAATATCAAACTTATTTTGAATCAAGAATTTTAAAGGCGTGTTTCTCTTGTAAATAAAAACAATACATATGTAACTACTGTCAAAATGTCTATTTTCATCCCCAGTTTTTAAAAACCATAAGAAAAAGGGCCTTAGGACAAAACAAACAAGTAGAGAGCTTATATTCATCTATTACACAAAACAAACTAATATAAGCTTTGATGCTTGTCTCTTTCTTGTAACAAACGAGTATGGCTCATACTCTATTTTAATCTTTTTGGACTTAGGAATTATTCTTCCTGTATAATATGTGCGTCTGAGTGCTTTTTGAGTGAGAAATCTAAATTTGAAATTGATGAGTAAAGGAAAATTGGATTAGTTGAGTAAATTATACTACCTCTAATTCTGACATGGCAGTTAAATAACTAAGTTGTAGAAAATGAAAAAAAATTAGTTTAATTAAGTATCGTTTTAAAAATTGACAAAAAAAGTTAAGTTATTTGTTAAAGGAGAAAACTTACCTCCGGTTCTTTAGGTCCTGGTTATCTAGTTCTCCAATGAGTAAGTGCCACTTGGATATTTTTTTACACATTAGCACTAACAGTGTGGGCAGGTTTCTAACATCTCTATTTGCGATTTTTCCACCTAACCCTAAGATAGCTGCATCAACAATCTTGAAGAGCGAATATGGGGGGTGACTATGAATGAGAGAATAGGAATTGGTGGCCAAGTATTGTGACTCGAGCTCATGGCGGTGCAATTGGCAAAGGAAGAACAAATAACAAAAAACCAAGCAAATAGGACAAAAGCATGTAAAAGCCAAAAGTCATTCATTCGAGAAGAGAAAGAAAGATGTAAACAATTTATTCACCAGCCATGTGTTACTGTACGAAGTGATAGCTCGCACAAGATATATGCCAAAACTGTAAAGGGTGATGCTTGCACAAGACGCTCTACAATTGACAGTGCGATTGTTAGTGCAATGACAAAATCGCAAATGGATATGCCAGAAAGAAAAGTATTTTAAAAAACAAAAGAAAGAAAAGAAAAGAAAATAGTTATTAGAGATAAATAAGGTTATATAATTTCATTAAAAAAGTTGACAGTGAGTGAACTTATTGCTAGTGGTATATAGGCCAAAAAAAATTTGCCTAGTATATGAAAGTTGGGTGTACGCCAAATAGTATTATCACCTAATGACATAAAAATTTTCATAAAAGTGAAAGCACATAGTTTTTTTTCTTTTTTTATTATTTATATCATAAAAAAGGTTTACGCACTTATTATATTTATAAAGGGCTGAGTTCGTAAGATTTTATTCTGCTTCTAAGTTTAAACAATTATGTATTTACTTGATAAAAAAAAAAAAGAGTCATGTATACACCTCTAAATTCATATTATTAATATACACTTGTCTAACTAAAAAAAATTGTAACAGTAAAATAAAAAAGCTATTCATACTTCTATATTTATTTCATCAAGGGAGCAGTATACATCTTCCAACAATGACCCAACTTATGCCAAATACTAGTATGGGTAGACAAATCCTTGATGTGGTGAAGGTCCTCGATTTTTTTTTAAAAAAGACATTAGATGTAAGGAGGCAGGCTATCTCACCCAGCCTAGAGCGACTTCCCTATCTTATGTACTCTCACTCTTTAAGTGAGTTTCTACAGACCGCCACCAATATTGCTGCAGAGTCTCATAAAGGTCTTCACATTGTAATATATAAGAAAATAGTCTTTTAAAGCCTTCAAAAACTCCTCCTTCGTCTCTGGAAGATGCCCTCGAAGTAGCTTCACTAGGAATGCACAGTTGTAAGCGCCTTGAAATACTATGTAGCATCCCTTCTTATTTGATATAATGTGACAATGCTTTAGGTACTCAATAAATTTTGAAGAACCTATGCCTTTCATGTTATTTCTAAAGAAGTCTATACTGTTGGTTTTCAAGAGATCAATGGTGGCAATAACATGCAAATTTGTTGACAAGTCAAAACCTTGGAAATTTCATTGCCATGCCCTATACTTGGTGGGTTTCCAAAAGGAGGGGAAATGACCATTTTTATATGTCAATATGATATGCAATTGGATAAGCTTCACACCATCTACATTTTTAACTTAAAGCTTGCATATATTGGTTTGTCTTCATAATATGCCCCTAGAAACTCAGTATCCAAGGACATCTAGGGAAAGCAAGATAACGATCTCAGAGGTAAGGTTGGCATCCCAAACATCCACTATCTCCATGTTGTTTACAGAGAGAATTGATATTGCAGCGACTCAACTTGCGTGTAACAAATTTCACTAATAATGAAATAAAATGATGAACTGCATGCCATATATAGATTAGTATCTAATGTCTAAAAAGCAAAGTGATCAGAAAATATTTCCTCCATCACTTATTATAACATCCAATAATTAATTGTGTTCTGATACCAAAAATTTTCCATTTGCATCTTCTTTAACACACGGTAAGAAATCTAATTTTTAAATCTCAAATCTGTCACTTGGTTTCTTTTTTAAACTCTCTATGTGTTCATATGTGAAAGTTGGAAGTATCACAACTTTCATAAAATATGTTTGTTTTCCTTGGTATCAAACTTATTTTGAATTAAGAAAATTTTAAAGGCGTACTGTTTTTGTAAATAAAAACAATGCATATATAACTACAATAAAAAGGTCTATTTTTGTCTCCCAATTTTTGTTTGTTTTAAAAAACTAAAAGAAAAACAGCCTTAATACTTGTTTGTTAAAACAAAACAGACAAGCAGAGAGCTTATACTTATCTATTACCAAAACAGACAAGTATGAGCTCTGATACTCATCTCTTTAATTTTTTATAACAGACAAATATGGTTGATATTCTAATTTAATGTTTTTAAACTTAAGAATCGTTCTTGTATAATGTGTGTGTGTTTTTTTTTTTGAGTGAGAAATCCCAATTTGTAATTGATGAGCAAAAAAAAATTGGACTAGTTGAATAAATGATACTACCTCTAGTTCTGATGTGGAAGTTAGATACTTGTAAAAATTAAAAAAATTAGTTTAATTAATTATATGTTAAAGATTGACAAAAACAAGTTAATTTATTTGTTAAAAATGTGTTGATTCTTTTAAAATATATTTTTAACTATTTGTAATTGAAACTTCATTGTATGAAAACTACTTTACGCCAATTAAGTTAATTGATGTTTTATATGCATGAGCAAAATAAACCACCTAACTAGCTCATCTATTTTATGCCGGGAAAGAGCAGCAATCAAATGAGATGTTCAATATTGATTCAAACGCTTATTTTGTTTAATGAAGCTTGCATCTTGCTTCCACATTTGTTTCTAGTCATATTTCTTCATACCTATCTATTCATCTTATTAAATTTTCTACGAGTGATTTGAACAGTGAGACTATGAATTTAGGGTGATTTAAAGTAACTAAACTTTAATTAAGATGTATTGGATGACATTGTTGGTGTTGGGTTGTGTTGGTCGAAAGCTGGTTTTCCTTTTGGATGACATCGTTCGTGTTAATTAAAACTTAAAAAAGTGGTACAATAAATATTTTTGAGAATTTTAGCTTTCAATAAGATGAAAATGCAATTCGATATTTAGCAACCGGACAAAATGGGATGAATTCTTGTTTCTTGGGATTCCATTGTTGGAATATTATTTGACCTTAAAATTAAAAATGCTTGGATGCAAAAATCAACAACTTTAGATTAATATGGAAGTAGAATTGGTGCGTACGTGACAATAACTCCTAGATCTATTCTTAAAGTGGGTTTGAGTGTTGACTATATTTATGTGTTATATTAAAATTTCATTAAGCAAAACAAAACATATTTATTTTCCGGTTAATATAATTTTTAATTCATTAAGTTTGTACTCATTTTGGTTTTGCTCCTTTAAGTTTCAAATAATAGATTTTGGTTTCTCAAGAGCAAAATAGTCTAAGTTTTTATTGAAGTGTAGAGACTAATGGTTTAAATAAAAAGAAACTTAAAAGACTGAAAACTATGATTTGAAAGTTAAAGAACCAGAACTAAAACAAAGACATACTCGAGAAATAAAATTATATTAATCCTATTCCTTCAGTCTTAATATTGTTGGCCTTATCCAACGAAAAATGCCGGCTCAATAAATTTAAATAGGGATAATGCAATTAAGTACTAAAAAAAATACTTCAAATTTTAATTCTTTAATGTAAACATTTTTATATTTTAAACTTTAATTATTTAAAGAATTAGATATATGATAAAATATTAAAAATGCTAAAATATTACAAATTTAAAAATTTATAAAAATAATTATATCAAATGATTAAAGTTTAGAACATAATTTATCCACATTTAATTATAGAGTCATAATTTAAGTTTGTCCAGTTTAAACAAGAGAGTAACGATGTCAAAATTAAATGGCTAAAAACATATTTTTTAAAAAGGATAATACAAATTTTAGTCCCATAAATTTGTTTTCATTTTGGTTTTGATCCCTCAAATTTTGAGCCATAAGTTTTGGTCCTTCAAATTTCTTTTCATTTATAACATTGGTCCTTATAATCTAATAAAAACTTGGACCATTTTGCCCTTTGAAATACTAAAACCTATGGTTTGGAACTTGAAGGATTAAAACCAAAATAAAGACAAACTTAAAAAATCAAATATTATATTAATCCTTTGTAAAATTAAAAATTGATATAAATTTTGAGAATTATACGTGTAAAATAAAAATAATAATAATAATAGAAAAATGAAGAAGAGTTTGAATTATTTGGGGAATATTGCCACATTGTGGATGCCCACTAATGATTGTGATACAGAAAATCGCGGGAGATCATCAACAGAATATGAATAATGGGTCCATTAAATTCGCGGAAATTAAGGAATTCAATCATCTATAATATCACTATTTAATATTTAGATTAAGAAATTAGAACTAATTTTGGTAATGCCATAATGATATTAAGTATTACTTATTCCCATTGTTATAATCATTTTTTTTTGGCCTAACCAAGTAACAATCAAGTCAAAACTCGCTACAATTATGATGTTTTAATTAAAGATAATATTACTATATATTTGTCACATTTTAAGCAAGATAACGGATAATTCTTTTCTCAATAAATGTCTTTTAAGTTTCAGTCCGTAACCACAAAAAAAACTATACAAGATTATGATGAGATGAACTAATTAATAAGAGTCACCCAATTAGATAATTATAAAAGCATAGCATTAGAATACAATTCGAGTACCGACCATATTATCAAGCTAGCGAACCAATCTTCTGGCCAATCCAATCAAGAGTTTTGGCAATGAACAAGTCAACCGGGTTAAGTTTTATATATTTTATTCTTAAATTAAACCTAGAATTGCATTGATTTGAGTTTAAAAATTAAAAAAAAAATCAGTCCATCGTATATTTGAATGACTTGATATTGTTGGATTATATGTAATTTATACACAATACATAAGTTAATATATTTTTATTTAAATAATATTTTAAGTATGGTCACTTCACTCCAATTTAAAGTAATAACTCAATATCTTGATTTAGAGTGCATTCACAATCCAATTTTCAGTAACATAGAAGCCAACTTGAATATATTTTTAGCTATTTTCTTAATGACGCACGTAAATGCATGTGAGTGTAGTGGATACACATGCCACGAGTCTACATGTAACCACAAAAAAATAAAATAAAATAAAAAATTTGCAATGGAATAATGGAACGTTCTGCAAATGAAGATTGATAGTAAGTAAAGGGGACCTCTAATTAGTTTCTATATAGTTTTGGTCTCAACCAATCAACCTACATTTGTTTTTCAATTCCTTGACTCAGATGTGTTAGATTTATTGTCCCTTTCCTACTCATCATGTGGTAGTGACTGAGCCTTCATAAAATTTTGCCTCTTTCTCTTTTTGACTAAAATAGAAGACATCTTATATGGAAACCATAAAATTCAACATGTTATTATTTACAAGATATGCTTTTATAATGAAATTTTATTTCATAATTTTAACAAGAAGTTTAAAAATATATAGTGAGCAAAACTAGAAGATTAACGCTTATCCCGAACGTTACTTAGACTTGGTAGTGTTTGGATTAACTCATTTTAAATAACTTTGCAGTGTAAGAAAAATTTATGTAAAACTGTGTTTGATGTAAACCTATCAAACAAGCAAAAATTACCAAATTCCCTTTCCAATTATATGGAAAAACCAGGTTTAATTTCTTGAATTTTTCCTATTAATAAATTACTTCTCTACTTATCATGGAAGCGCGAGATTTAACTCATTATAAGGATTTTTAATGAATCAAATAGTAATAATAATTTCATTACTTACTTCGTTCTACTTATACTCTTACGGTCTTTAATATAAGACTCATTTAACTAATTTGATTAGATTAAAAAAGTTAGGTAAGTTAGTTAATTATAAGAAATGTGGTACATTTTTCCTAAAACACCATAATCGTCTTTCTTAATATCTCTTCTCTCTTTTCTACTTGATTATGGTTAATGGAGTATTCATAGAAGTAATTTAGAGAAAATTGATAAATATGATAAATAAATCTTATATTTAGGGCTAAAACCAACTCAATAATTGGGTTCTATATTAAAGACCGGAAGAGTATATAAATATATTTATTTTTTATTTTAAAAAAGAAATAAATTTAAAGTTGAATTTCCCGAGCCTACCCACTCCAACTATGTTATCCTGAAATGTTTCATGTGAAAAAGGATTTTGAAACCATGATGACTTATTTTATTAGAGCTTCTATAAAATAAAATAAAAGTCATGTTCTGGTGGTTTGGTTTGCTATATAACGCTGAAAACGGAAATCGGAGGAAGAGGATAGTAGGAGGCAGTTTCTGTGCAACAAACGTTCTCTTCTTGTTTCTCGTTTCGACTCTCTTCGTCGTCCTCCCCACTCTGTAAGCTCCGTACGGTTTATTTTGTTCAGACCTCAAGAGCTACTTCTGTAAATCCACATGATTATGCAGCCCAGTAGCAGCGAAATGCAACAGGGAATCAACTCTTCCTCCTCCTCCTCCATGAATTCTTCTCAAATTCCCCTTCATGACCAGATCCAACAACCTGACCTTCATGACGATTTTCTCGACCAAATGCTCTCCAACCTTCCTTCTTGCTCCTGGCCTGACCTCAACCCGAAGCCCTTCTGGGACCACCAGCTCAATCCCTCCGATGACAACCACAATAATGCCACGTTCCCCTACGAAGACAAGTTTCGCAACCTCCAGATCCCTTCCGCCTCCACTCCGCCTCCTAAGTCCGCCGCCGCCGAGGCCGTCGCCTTGATGCTTCAGCGCCAGCTTCTCATGTCCAGAGGTGTTGCCGGTGGAGGCGCCGCCGACTCTGGCCTGCTCCAGATGCCCTTGTCTCTCGGCGGAGGAGGAAACTTCGAGCCTTCCCGTAACGACGTGGTTGACGGTTCCTCCTTCAAATCTCACGTTCCGGTGAGTTTCATGCTGGTACATCAAGTTTTTTTTTTTTTTTTGCTGGATATATCAAAGCTTGAGAATTAAGTAGCTCGGGTTCGGATGCTATGTAGTGTGATTTTCTCCGATTTTTTTTTTTTTTGCACATAATTTTCACAGGCCGGCGACGGTAACGTCCAATCTCTGTACAACGGATTCGCCGGATCTATGCACGACGCTCATCAAGCTTCCAACCAAACTCAACATTTCCATCATCCTCAGGTTCCATCTCTAAAAATATATTTTATTTATTTACTTCGTACGCAATCTTTTCTGGTTGTTAAATTCGACTTCCAGATTCTTGTTTCTTTCTTAAATATTTGTTAATTTCAATAACAGGGGCAGAATTATGGACCTTCAGGAGCGCCAGCGGCGAACCAGGCCCCGCAGAACGGAGCTCCGGCGCAGCCAAAGCAGAGGGTTAGGGCGAGGAGGGGTCAAGCGACGGACCCACACAGCATCGCTGAGAGGGTACTTAATTACTGTAACTCTGTTTCTCTGACCTCATTAATTGAACTGTTTGGCTGCCGAGAAAAATCCACCCAACCACCTCATGTGTCATTTTCCGCGTAATACGCCTAGTAAACCGTTCGTCATTTTCTTTTCTGTTTCCCCCTTTCTAGGAATCAAACAAACTTAAAACGTTGGTTCTCAAGAAAATTTATCAATCCGAAGATAGACAGTGACTTGGGATTTAGCGTCATAGTTGGTAGAACCAAGTACTAGTACTCATTATGATGAAGCAAGCAAGAAATAGTGTGTAATGCTGGGTTTTTGTCAATTTTCTGAATATGAGATATTGTGTTTGTGGTGGCAGTTACGAAGGGAGAGAATCGCAGAGAGAATGAAGGCCCTGCAGGAACTGGTTCCCAATGCCAACAAGGTGAGTTTCCAACCTTATCTCTCTCTCCCTATTATTCCGTGCCTCACTGGAAACAAAGAAAAATGAATCATCATTTTGGGAAATGTGTGTGGAATGAAATGACAGACAGATAAGGCTTCAATGCTGGACGAGATAATAGATTATGTCAAGTTCTTGCAGCTCCAAGTGAAGGTATGCGAGCCTTAGCTTATTTTTTCTCTGCTGCAAGTTGGTGTGTCATCATCATTTGGGCATTATTCTGATCGTGGGATGAAAATTAAAATGAACAGGTTCTGAGCATGAGCAGATTGGGCGGTGCTGCCGCTGTTGCTCCTCTTGTTGCTGATATATCCTCTGAGGTACCCATAATTCATTTCTGTAAAAGAAAATGGAACTACTTGCATACTTATCTTTTTAATGCTAAACTATGGTAATTGATTCCAATATTGAATTTGTTGGTGCCATTAGATGATTAAATAATAGAGAATAAGTTGAAGATGTGCATCATAGAGGGGAGGCATCATTTTGTCAATATTGTCGGACTCACGACTCTCTCTTAACCCAACCACCTTCTTCTCTCTCTGTCTCTCTCCCCGCCCTTCGCACTTGGCCTTTCCCTTATCAATTCTTCAATTATCAATCAACATAAAACGACAATTTAAAAAGCAGCACGCGTGCCCACTTTCTCAGATTCCTCTTTCTGTCTATCTTTCTCTCTCTCTCCGGAGACACCTTTCACACCCTAACACAAATCATTTTTTTTCTTTCCTTCTCTTTTCTAGTTTCCTTTTCCCAGCTCTCTTTCCCTTTACCTTCTCTTTCCGTCTTCTCCGTCTGATAATATAATAATAACTATATCATCATGGGATGATTTGACTTGTCTCTTTCAGGGAGGAGGTGACTGCATCCAAGCCACCGCCGCACGCAACAACTCCAACTCCAACGGCAACCAAACGGCGTCGTCCTCCAACGACACCTTGGCCATGACGGAGCACCAGGTGGCCAAGCTCATGGAGGAAGACATGGGCTCCGCCATGCAGTATCTTCAGGGGAAAGGTCTCTGCCTCATGCCCATCTCCCTCGCTACGGCCATCTCCACCGCCACCTGTCCCTCGCGGAACCCCTTGGCCCCGGCCGCCGCCGCCAACCAGCACCCGGGCTTGGCGTCCAACGGCAACGGAGGGGAAGGGCCGTCTTCTCCCAGCATGTCAGTGTTGACCGTCCAATCCGCCACCGCAGTTAACGACGGCGCCGTTAAAGACGCCGCCTCCGTTTCGAAGCCGTGAAGGATGTTCAATGATGCCTTCCGTTCGCTGACTTTGGCTCAAAGGCAAGGCCAGAAAGCACCAAAAGATAAGAAAATGACGTGGATTCTCTTTTGAAGAATGTGGGCCCCAATCTGAAGTCTACGGAAATAAGACGTCACTCAGCGCGTGAGGAGACCTCAGACGACGCCGTATTTGCGTAGACTTTGGCATATGCTAACTTTTAGACCAGCCAATCGCATCTCTCCAACACTACTGTCTCTGTCTATTAATATTTTTTCCCTTATGTTTCTGGCTATGGCTTTTGGTTCGCTGATTTTTTTTTCCTAGTCGTAGTATTTTAAAATTACAAGTGGGGCTGTGTACAATCTATTGATTTCATGATGATTATGAAACCATTAATTAATTAAAGGCAAAGTAAGTAGGAATTGATAATGAGGAAATAATTAGGGGTGTTGGATGCCCTTTATCCTAATTTTTCTTTTGGGGTGTTCGGGTAAAAAGAAAAAGCTGGGAAAAAGCCGATGGCTTGGTGATGCGGGAAGGAGCAGTTTGGAATTATGGCAGTTGGAAAGTTAAAATGCCCCCAAAAAAAGGGCTGGTTGATTAGGTATGAGTCAACGGCCAGTGCTGATAGCTTAGCTCCTTGCATCAAAATATAGCAATGCCATTTGGCTAGACTACTTTTCATGTTTTTTAATTTTAGGATTTTTCATTAATCCCTTTCTTTTGGGGGGGGGGATGGCACTTGTTGTGTTCATCAAATGGATTCCCGCCCTACAACAAATCTCAATAATTTAATTACAAGTGTAATTAAATTCGCAATCCGACGACCTCATTAGTTAGCTCCGCATCATTATAAATTATTAGTTTTCAAGGAGTTTTGAAATCCTATAATGTTCAAAAGTTTTATAGTATCCGAGGTAGTATTAACGTATTACTCCTCCGGTCCTGAATATAAGACCCTTATATTAGTATAAGTATAAGAGTCTTATATTTAGGATCAGAGGAGTATGATCTCTCTATGAAGATCAGTGAAACCCTAGGCTTGTTTCTACATGGTTAAAGACGCATACTATGTGAAATATGACTAAATTTATATGAATTTGACAAGATATGGTAAGTACTTTTTTCATTTTTCTTGTCCCTCACTCGTTGTCTATCTTATATTTTTCTTTAATTTTATAGGGTACGAAAAGCATTGCAATAATTTAATGATTCTAACTGCTAAATGCTAGGAGTAATGTATTGTTCAGTTGTGGCTAATAGATTTGGTGGATTTGTTATAATCTAAGACAAAACGTTAAGTCGAATAAGGGGGACCACTTATTTTAGCATTTTATACTTTTTTTTAACCGAAAGCAAAATGACATTTTTAATGTAGGCAGAATAAGAAACCAGCGAGGGAGTAATAATTTAAGAAGTCAACTCTGAAGATGCTAATAATTAATAGTCCGTCCACAACGTGAAGTGATTTCTGTCATTTCATTTTAATTAATGATGTGCAGGGGAATTAGGTACAATAGATTAGAGTTTTGGGTTGTTGTGTTGTTGTTTTACTGTTCATGACACATGCGAGAGATTCTTCTATCTTCTTCTTGGATCAATATATAATATATATATATATATTCTTTTCCACTACTGATGACTAATTAAGGGAGTGTTTAGATAAGAACAAAATTATGGTTTCAAAAGTATTTTTACCGTATACGAAATAAATATGTAGATGAGTTTATTTCGATTTACGAAAAAGTGTGTCTGAAAAGTGCTTTTGGAGTTACCCAAACATCCCCTGAGTCTAGCATGTACTAATCAATTCGTACTGTATGAGTCTGAACTAGGATTTGAAACTCTAGCTGGCGATCAACCTGCCTGGGTTAATTGTAATGGGCCTACATATAATCACAACTTGAGTAATTAATCTTGTTTTATTTCAGGCCAACATTTTGCCATATGCATCTCTAAGTAATTTAATTTGCTCCTATTTCTTTTTTTTTTCCGTGTCATTTTTAATAATCTAGCAGTCTCTTATCCAAATTGCTCTGCTTTTAGTTGCATGGACTTTTCCCACTCAACATTATGTGTGAAATAATCACGAGCTCACTGAATCAATTATGTCTCTGAATCATATTATTTTATTTTGTTTATTGCTATTGGGATCTGATTAGGTTAAAAGATAAAGCTTTGGATACTGTTCCCTTTCAAATATGTAAATGACTTTATTTCGATTTACAGAAAAGTATGTCTGAAAAGTGTTACACAAAACACCCCTAAGTCTAGCATGTACTAATCAATTCGTACTGTATGTGTCTAAACTAGGACTTGAAACTCTAGCTGGCGATCAACCTGCCTGGGTTAATCGTAATGGGCCTACATATAATCACAACTTGAGTAATTAATCTTGTTTTATTTCAGGCCAACATTTTGCCATATGCATCTCTAAGTAATTTAATTTGCTCCTATTTCTTTTTTTTTTCCGTGTGATTTTTAATAATCTAGCAGTCTCTTATCCAAATTACTTTGCTTTTAGTTGCATGGGGTTTTTCCCCTCAACATTATGTGTGAAATAATGACGAGCTCACTGAATCAATTATGTCTCTGAATCATATTATTTTATTTGTTTATTGCTATTGGGATCTGATTAGGTTAAAAGATAAAGCTTTGGACATTGTTCCCTTTCAAAACTCAATTATTAGGATTTATTTTTCGCATGTGATTATTAAATATATAAAGTTAGGTGAAGAAACACAGCCCAATATATCGCGTGGAGCTAGACCTTTTTCTTTTCTGTAATAAAACTTTGGGGAAGAGTTGGGTTCAGTCACGATCTAAGGACAGGAAAACTAACCCTTAACTCTCTTATGTCCAGTTAATTTAAGGTGGCAGGTCTTAACTTCAAATATGCCTCCTTTTCTAAGTAAGTTGGGCTCAAATGAAAATATTTAATTCTATTAACTGTATGATTTATTTACTCTTAGAAGAATTTATCAGGATATTAAACATGTAAAAGTAGTATCAGTTCAAACCATAAAAAATCTCAAGAACTCCTAAATTGAGCATCTAAATAATTATCGACCTTTACCAACTTTTATTATATAATTAGAAAATTAGCTATTCAGTACTTCCTTCAGTCTTAAATATGAAAACTAATTGAGGATTTTTTTTATTCTAAATGTTAGATCTCAATCTATTTTTCTTTAAAAATCATAAAATTTTTTTAAAAACTATTCCTATTAAATGTACATATTAAATGAGAATTTTCATCAACAGACGTTTTTCAATACCAATAAATGAAGGCAATATTTTAAGAAAATCAACACGCAAATTTTACAAATAATATAAATTAATTTTTTTTTGTTAAACTCAAGTATTCTTCTATTAAAAACAATTCTATCTGAGGTACTGTACTAAATGTGAACATCAAATCCTAATAAGGTTCACCATATTGTGAAAGACTAATTTCTTTCACTAGACATAACCAATATAGGTATAAATTAATTATTTAACTCTTATATTTAAAATCAGAAAAATATATTAGAAGAGAATAATGTGGTAGATCAAATACAAACAAACTGCTGGTTGAGATGGTAAGTAATCTCATCCTATAAAGAAAAGAATATAAGCTTGAATCTCAAAACACGTAATTGTTGAGAGATTTTTAACCTTAACGTTCCTATCAGAATAGAAATTAGTTTTAAATCTAAAATTACTTAAGAAACTCTCAGTTTATACCAAAAAAAAAAAGGTGGCAGATCGAACTAGGCGCAAGCTTTTATCTACAAGGACAGGCTTTAATTAGATAACATGGGCTTACCACATTTCAGATTCTGTAGTGTTAAATGGATAGACTATTTGCGGCCCATTATCCACACTAATCTCTCTCTCCCCCCAAACTAAAAAACACACTAAAACGAAGTTTTGTTTTGTTTTCCAATTGAAAGTGGGAGGGTAAAATGTGAAAATTGACCAATCAAGGGATCTTCCAAGTTCCTTTAATAGATGTTTTCAGAGCTAGTGACCTTATATCTTGGTGACATTTGAGTTCCTATGTGAATGAGAAAAACCTAAGTTAAATTTTACTTTCTAATCTTAGCGACTACCTCTTTAGTTAATAAAAAAAGTGATATATATATATATATAGAGAGAGAGAGAGAGAGAGGGAGGAGGTGAATAATCTAACTTATGAACATCAAGTTTAAGAGTGTGTGCTGGGAGAACTAAACTAAAGCCACGAACCATGGACAACATAGAAATTAAAAAAAAACCTAAGCAAGGGTTACTGAAAAATGCGGGGCAAAGCATGAAAAGTGCCAGGGCCCTGCCATAGGACCTCCCTCTTCTTCCCCCTTATTATTTCTTTTTTTTTTAATAAACTCAATTCTTTTTTTTTTTTTGACCAGGGAATAAACTCAATTCATGTTAGTGTGTGTGCACATCTTTTTTTTTTTTTTTAGACCAGGGACTGAAGGAAAAACCACCTAACGCCTGTGATACTCAACCAGCATGCACATCTTTAATTAAATGCAACATATATGCTATATAGTGTACTAGAGAGTACAGGGTGCTAATTTGGGTAATTGAATGAGAGAAAAGATGGAAGCTTCCACGCCCACTTGTCCAGCGGAGCTTGCTTCTCCGGTTGCTCTAGGTGACCCCCGCCCCTCAACGGCGACACTTTCCCCAGCACACGCCCTGCCACTGCTTAACACTTCCATTAGTTATTACTGTATCATTTTAATAAATTCACCCTTGCTTGTTTAGGCAAAATTAGGAGAAATTATAATGAAGTCTCAACAAAAAAAAAATTATTACCAATAAGTTCTAATGGTAGGTATATAATTATTATTTACTATTATAAAACTTGTTATTATTTACTGTTTTATTATCATTAAATTTTTTTAATAATTATGTTTTTTATTTGGGTTTTATAACAATTCTTTTCGAAATAAATCCCACCTATTCATATTTTCTAAAGCTTCTATTCTTAATTTTAAATATAAGACCCTTATATACACTACAAAAAAAATATTATATTTAGGACCAAAGAAATAGGTATACGTGAAAATCAACCAATTAAGCCTCTCTTAAATATCTCTCTCTCTATGTATGCCTAAGTGAATGAGAGAGAGGGTTGATGCGATAAAACTTGAAAAGAAGAAACCATACATAGTGGAGCAGCACTAGGTAGGATGATGCAGCTGCAGCCACAAGTCATGAAACATGTCTGCCACTGTGTATTTTATGAATATGTCAACGTCCCAACCTAATTAGTGGTCCTCCACATCGATGTCTTTGATTCTTCATTTATAATTATCACGTATTATTAGGTTTAGTTTCAATATTATCATGTTTGATAATAAACTTTTTCAATCAAATTTTTGTAACATTCAGCCTCTTATTATATCCTTATT